CAAAAAAATCACATTCACAAACGAGAAATGGAGTGAAAATGTCGTTATAGCAGTCATGCGCATTATTTAGGATTCCATTTCCTTATTTTCTAATTTGTCAACATTGATTATAAAACAGGTTAAATTATCTCTATCTGTATATTGTCCATAAAATTTATCTAACATTTTCTACACTATTTTCAGGTATAGGCAGGGACGAACTCAACGTACCCATCTAGATAAAGCAATACACTCACATTTACAGTAAACACTCAGAATACGTGTAAAAAGTTTTTTTGGTAAGATACATAATGTTTGAGTTCAATTTTTTTTTGGCAAAAGTGGGCAGAGGAGGCTATGGGCAGCTAAAACAGTAAGCGATGGGGGCTCAAGCAGTGGATAATTATCAGGCCTCTCAGTGTTGAGGTTTAAGTGAAAAATAGTTAAAAAAAACCTTACAAAAATGGTGAATATCGTATCTCTAAGTATTGTATACTGTGTTGCCTATTTTGCTAATTGTTGGGCTTGGGGCTGATACCCCCCCCCCCCACAACTCTAGGCTTTACATTTGGTTGTTTTCTCAGTTTGATGGCTGACGATTAGGATTGTGGCCAGTTACCCACGGCACACCTCTTAGCAATTAACAGAGAGTATACGTTGAAAAATTCCCAATTAAGAAAAGGATTTCGTTAATTAAAGAGAGGATTCGAATGGGAGAAATTTGAAAGTACAATAGCTTGAAATTGGAGGCCTCTTGCAAGTAGATGACCTTAATTCTGTCGATGCCTATAAAAATCTCACTGAAGGTTCGAGATTCGAGAAATGATGAGGGTTTCTCGATCCATGGCAAGCTTCAAATGTTTCTACTGTCCCAATCGAGCTCTTCCTTACAACTTCAACCGTTCATGCAGTTGTCCAGCTTTACAATAGGACCAGACCCGGTTATCATTAAGAGGTCACCAACTTCTTAGTGATAAGCATTATCAGGCTGCCAGCTGTAGGCAGATCGCATGCAGTGTTCTGCCCGACCATGGTAGTTTTCGGAAGGCGACGTATAAATACTGCAATATGACTGTGGATATCCATACACAGAGGACATACCGTTGGCGAGATAGCCGGTTGGCGGCATCGGGTATCCAGCACTCATGGCATGAGCTGGTGGATGGGCCAAAGGCGGTGCAGGGCCGCTTGGGAAGCCGTGCGGCACGTTGGATTCCGGAGAGGCTGGGGAGGAGCTAGGTGAGCGCTCCTCCTTGGAAGTCGAATATGATTCTTGTTCCGGGCTGCAAGATTTAGAAATGTAAGGTTGGTTGGTGGCATAAGGGTACTCCATTGTTCCATAGTTCGAGGAACCTGGTGAATATAAATTAGGATTTTTTTAGAGAGCGAACCTTAATGAAAAATTTGTGTCTTTTCTTTTTATCATATACGATCCTACCCAATCCTGTTCTATTGAAATAATGAGAATTTGTTAGTAATTTGTCATGTCATATAATCCTCATAAATTTTCCATATAATAGCAACGCAGTATTAACGGCAATTTAGTTGAAAAAATGGTAATCATTTTGATATTCAATTCGATAAAATCAAGGTTTTCCGAATAACTGATCTTTCCGAATAACAGCTTTTTCCAAATAACCCTGCATCCGTGTAAAAGAAAAAATGATTCATTGATATATGGAAAGAAATTTCGTTGCATCAGATTTTTATGTATATAAACGAGGAAATTAGGGAAAAAAGGAGCAAGTTGTTAGAAAACAGTAAGACATTAAAGGTATTGTAATTAAGGTATTGTAATTAAGGTATTGCTTTAACAAAATATTGTAGTTATGTAGCCATGGTAGCAATGAACCACCAGAAAAATGCAAAGCCATCTTCCAAGTTTTCAATCTTTAATTGCTACAAGAAAAAGGTGCCGAGGAAGCACTGAGATATGGGCACTTACCGTATATGTCGGAGTATGGTTTTTGTGGCGGATTATACATCGTTGGGCACGTTCTACTGATTCCGGCCATGCTTGACATTGCAGGTTGATAGACACGTTTCGCTGCGTAATATAGGTCTTGCTCGTGGTACCTGTGAGAAGACAAACAAAGTAACAAGGACATGATAGCTTTAAGGGTTAATGAGGTCCAAAATGAGACAAAGTACAGAATTCAAATGCTGTCAAAAATTCATAAGAAACGTGGGAACCATGGTCTTGAATAATATGCTGTTATATATAGAAATTATTGATATCAATGCCATGCTAAATGAATCTGCTTCGATGCTTCTTGCTATCAGTTCTAAATGAGTCTTCTTCTTTGAATATCAAATATACATGTATCCGTGTGACTGCCCTGTTTTGAAATCTCGATCAAGTGTTCTCCGAGCCATACGTAGAAGACGAAAAACTTCGAAAAATTACGTAGCCTTCCTTCGATTGCGCAAGCCCGAACATGGTTGGTAGTCTTAGAGGATGTTCTCTGTTGCAAAAAGGGTACTACCCAAAAACTAGGTCAACAGAACTATTCTTTCCAGGACAATAACAGTATTCAGCAAACAGGCCCTGGACATGCAACTACCAAAAGTCGAATTACTTACAAAAGATATGTAAATAATGACGGCTAAGGATATAAGCAAGATAAAATAAGGTTCTTTACTTTATCTTTAACAGCGGACAGGCTGCTTTTGAAGAAACCAATCGAGCTTCGAGCGGAGTCAAGAATTTATAGAGGGGAACACATTTAATTTGTGGTTTAGTTCAGTGAATCAACACGATGTTCTACATTGGCCTGCACCAGATTCTGCGTCAGCGGAACAAATTAACCGCCAAACCATTAGAAATTCCAAATCATAATTCGCGAATTGACACCCACTTCAACAAATGAAACACCTTTAGATCGGTACTGATCAGTTTTTGTTATAAATCATCGTTATTAATTTGATGTCTTTTCTCAGTATCTTGGTCATCTATCTTTTGGGTTTTCTGTTGAGTATTAAGTCTGCTGTCATCAACTGGAAAGCGAAGAACTTTATTAGCTTTCG